ACTGCCGCTAGATGTAACGTGCCAGAGCCCTTAGTGAGTTCAATTTGAGGACTGACGTAAGGTGATGTAGTTATTTCACTAGTTTTGAGAACTGCATGAAATTTGGTTTCATTAGGAAGAAGACATTGTACCCTCTCACATAGTGCACAGAAAAGGAGATGAAAATGGAGCGATACGGAAAAAAGTGGATATGACCGCGCGCGCACGCGGTCCTCATAATTTTGGACCCACCTGTAGACACCGAACCCCAAATAGAGAGAATAAGCGAGCGATCATATCGTACGAAATGACCCCGACGCCACCCTGTAATTCGTTGAAAAGTGGACGGTGAACCAAAACTGAAGCCCCCGGAAGATAAAGTGACAAGTGCTTAGCGACCTGTCAAGTATGTACATTGAAGCGTGTGAGCACATGTTCTTCCTTTCTGGATGGCCTACTATAAAGCGGAAGGATTAATTCGTCTAATGGTAAGCTCACAGTGAACGAACTCGTACCAGAGAATGTACGCGGTTCTGGCTTTCTTACATAAACGTTCAGAACAATCAGATTTATTCCTCCAAACACAGCATGCTATGACGAATTAGCATAAGTGGGAATCGAAGTTCCGACTATCGGCATGGCAGAATCTCTTCTCTATCTACGAAAACGAACATACAGTCAGAACACATTGAAAAGCCGTTGTAGTATCCATGCCTTTCTTTGCTTAATTCCACTTCATTAATCGGTGAATTTTCCTGCTAGTACTAGCGCAAATACTGTCTTCGCTAGGAGGAAAATACTGTACTCTGATAGAGCCTATTTCAATTTGGATCATCAATACGCTTTCGCTCTGATCTATGCCCTCTTGTCCACTTTTCCCCTCTCCGTGATACTCATGGTCAATATGTTTTCTCTTACCATCTGTTCCTTACAATTAGAACCGTCCATAGCACAGAAGAAGGCAGTTTCTAGGGTTTCTGGTGGTATCCCTTTTCCATCATAGACAGTCCATTTTGCACCTGTGCTTCCATTTTTAGCGAGAAAACCACAAGAGAAACCGTTAAGCATGGAATATGTTTTCAAACTGAGAATTCAATACTCAATGAAAATCTCAATATCGAACTTTTTTTTTACAGAATACCAACGTTTTTCAGACTACAGTATGAATGGCGAAAAAATAGCTTTATTCTATGAACCAAATTTGGTCGCTATCCATACTACAATAAATCCAATGAGAACACTGCCTATCAATGGCGGCACACCTCAGGTACGGCATACGGCTATGCTTATTTATGAATTGTGATCACATTGAAGCTTCTTTAACGTACGTTTTACGGCCACGTGGGACTTCAGTGGGTTTTTTTAGAGAAATTGTTAAGAATTTGCACAAAATTAATTGTGTGACGCAGAAGAAAGCTTATCGAATGAAATGGGAAAGAAAACGAAGAAAAACTAGATATTTATTTGTTTCCTAAATATGGGCTAAAAGGTCCTACGTGATCAGAGCACTGCAGCCCATATATGGGCTACATGGGCTCCAAGGTGTTAATCTCTCCTTCTTCGCTAGCCTCTTTTCGCTTTGGTACGTGGTAATGGACATTCTCAGGACCGATTTCTGAGGATTTGTAGGGAAAAGCGCTCACTAAGGGTTGGTTCCAAAGTATGACCACGCAACCGCATTCACACCTTCACCCATTTCTTCCCTGTCTCTGATCTGCTTCGAAGTTGAACTAAAAAAATTTTGCTCTGACCGTCGTCCCCTTTTTTGCCTAGCCACACACTTCTAGTTTTGCCCTGGTATCCCCATCTGGTTAACAGTTAACAGCAAAATTATATTATCCAGAGATACTAATAAGAAAAAAGAAACGGTATAGTAAATAGAACTATTGATTTTATACCATTGCTTGAGTGTCAGCCGTGAGCAATCCAGGATGGGAGTCTCTAGCATAGGTCGTCTCATCAGTACAGTACTGTTCCACAATAAATAGATTTTTAAACGAATCTGAACAGCGCTGCCGCGCGGAAAAGTGCGCTGGCACAACCGGCAAACAAGGTTGTCATGCCTCTATGCATGAAGGCCCCATGGAGCAACTCGCAGGTCCTGCCCAGAAGTAGGTGAGGGTTAGAGGGCTTCGCCAATGCACAGTAGTTTGACTCGACAGGCGAGAATCTTCACACTCCGAGTCGCTGATTACAATGTCCTTGCAATAAAGGGCCTAATGAAAGCAGAGAATGGTATGGCGTAGTGTAGGATTCGTGGCGCACCCTCGAAGTTGTCTTCCTGGCTGTTCTTATGGTTAGGTTCGTAGCTCGATGGAGCCGTTATCGATTGGGTTAGGATGGGCCAGGAGGCTTACACTACGCCACTACATTCTCTGCTTTTCTAGGCGTACCTCTTAACATCTTTTCTTCTACGACACATTACATTATCAAATACGACCCAAATGATAACTTATACTTGAGGCATAATTTAATGCACAATTTGTGTAATAAATTCAGGAATAACATAACAGTAAAATAGCAGAGGTAAAAAGAGCGAGTTGTGGAAGGCCTTTCGTGCCGTATATGAATACACATAATTTCTGATTCCCTCCGAACCCAGATATTTGATGCATTATTCCATAAAGAATTACGTGACTGGTGAACTTGTTTTCAGAATCTAACCGACGCACAGATTGAATTACATCTCAATATTTCCGAATATAATATTACCAGCGTACTTCCCGAAAATGCTAGCGGCCTTGCAATAATAGACTTTGAAGAATGGCGACCTTTGTTTAGGCAAAACAGTAACAAGAAAAAGGTAAGTCTAACAAGTACTTTCAGTTCTTCAAGTTTTCGGCAACAATTCTTCACTCATGAAGAATAGAAGTAGAACTGGTACATTCCTCTATCTACTTTCCAACATTCAAATAAAT